GGAAATTGTGATCTCAAACGAATAATTTGAGCAAGGAGATTTGCAAATGCAAAATTTCTAGTCGATAAAAGATTGACGTGTGACCAACGTGTTGATGCATCAATGAGCACCATAAAGTATCGAAAGGGTCCACACGAAGGGGCAATTGGCCCACAAATATCTCCTTGAATTCTTTCTAAAAATGCAGGAGATTCAACTCCAATTTTGTATAAACATGGCCTGATAATTAATTTGCCAAGAGAACAGGCTGTGCATGAGAAATCACTTGATTGTGGAATTTTGACATTATTTAATGAATGTCCAAGTGAATTTTGAATAATTTTGTGCATCATAGTGCTGCCTGGATGACCTAAACGGTCAAGCCACAAGATAAAGGAACTGTGGTCACTAATTTTAGATACCACATTTATCTCAATTCGACTGATATATGTATAATATAGTCCGGAGGAATATGCTGGCATTTTTTCTGAAATGTATTTATTGCCAGATCTATTTGTCGTTAGACATAAATATTCCTTTTGATTTTCAGACATGGTTTCAATGTGAAAACCATTTAGACGCATATCTTTGAAACTCAAAAGATTTCTCCGTGATTTACTGGAGTATAAAGCGTCTTTAATTATTAATTTTGTCCCTTTTGGGAGAATTACGCAGGCTATTCCAGAACCTTCAATGAGTTTAGCAACACCTGAGATTGTATTGACATTAGCATCAACTAATGTCATATGAGAAATAATCTCTATGTCTCAAAATGGTGTGCATTGTGGCACTGTCTATTAAACATTGTTCAAAGCCATTTGGAGAAATTTCAGTTAACTCCATATCTTTAAAAAGATAAAAATGAACAAATATTAGTTCAATATTGGAATATAAACAATAATTTATTCATTAAAATGTACATAACTTTTACAACCGAAACAAGCACACCAAATAAAAATTACAATACAACAAACTTTTATTGTAGAATATATTACATAACAGAATAATTTCATTTTTGTTATTATTATTTTTCACCCATGACGATGTCAGTGTTCATCTCATTATTATCCATATAGAAATCAGACATATTAAATGTGCGCATTGGTGGAACGTTTTCGTTGACGTAATTAGTTTCCACATTCTTTCCTTTTAGAGATGATTTATATAAGTCAACCAAATGTGTAGGTGTGCGACACTTATTTGCCCAATGTCCCGACGTACCACATTTAAAACAAGTGACTTTAGCTTTTTCTGAAGATTTCGTCGGGCCTCTTGTTTGATGGGGATTTTGTTTTCCCTTGCCTTTGTAAGAGCTACTACTCTGTTTGTTTCCCCGGCTAGGTCCATTATAACGACCAATACCACGACCACGTTTGAAATGTCCACGAGCACCACTATGGGTTGCATTTGATTCATGTTTTGAACCATGATTTTGTGGACCAAAACTAAAAGGGCTACAACCCGTGGGTCTCATATTGTGGTTTCTCATCAAAATGTCATTATTCGTCTCAGCAAGTAGTAATACTGGTATTAAATCAGAATACTTTTGAAAGTGCTTTTGTCTATATTGCTCTTGTAAAATCATATTTGAAAGATGCATAGTGGATAGAGTTTTTTCCAACATTTCGGCATCAGTGACTTTTTGTCCGCATAACTTCAGATTTGATGTTATTTGGAACAAGGCAGAATTGTAGTCACTTATAGATTTGTAATCCTAGAATCGTAAATTGATCCAGTCATATTGAGCTTTTGTTAAAAGGACCTTTTGTTGATGGCCATACCTTTCTTGGAGATTATTCCATAATTCTTTAGGGTCATCTACCAATAAATACTCAGACTTCAAACTTTCGTGAAGATGGTGACGAAGAAAGATAATGGCTTTTGCCTTATTTTGGGGAGTAGCTGAATTATTTTCAGCAATTGTGTTTTCGAGGGCATTTTCTTTTAAATGTGCCAAAGCGTCAACTTTCCATTCCAAGTACTTTTGACCAGATAAATCAAGGACGTCTAACTCTCTTTTGCTAATATTAGCCATGGATGAACTACACCATAATTAAATCAAAATTAATTAGTTAATGGTTTGTATAGATCATACGATTAGATATACATAATGTTTATGTAATAAATACTATATTAATAACTACTACGTACGATAACAATAATTATATACATCACTTTTATTACGTAGTTCGTATGAGTAGATGTAGTAATCTATACTCAGTATTAAATCTCTTTCATTAATAACTACTAATATAGGTATGTACGTATATTAGTATATATCTGTACTGAAGTAGTGAAAAATGTCACATGTATTTCTTATTATAATGATCCAGCACATATTAATTACTTTGTAAAATTCCTGGGCAGTTAAACAAAAAAAAAATTAATTGCTGCTAATGATTTAGTGATAATATTTACTCCGTATGAAATACTACCGATTTAGTTATAAATAGTACCAAATACTACGTATTAGATAATGTTTACAAACTTTATTGTTTATCAAATGTTTGCTTAAGAGCCTCACGGAAATTAAACATTATTCTCTTTTAATTAATATTTAATATTATAATAATAATAAAATAAACTCACTAACTAAGTACGTAGTGGCATGAGTGAGGTATGTATGGTTTTTTTTATGTATGGACATATACACCGTATGTAGTAAATTTATATTATTATTGATTTGAATTGATGTGTCAGAATTATCTTGATAGTATTATTGAAGATAAAAAAATGCATTGTCAAAAACAAAATATGACCATTGCACAATAAGGCATGCATTAAGACAAAAAAAAAACAAGTGATAATGTCTAGGAGAGATCATTCATCTGCCCGTGAGTGTGACCTGTCTTTACTTCATACGTCAATTATATATGAAGTAGCTGGTATGCAGTTTAAATATATGTCCTTTCTCTTCTTCTATGTTACTATAGTTCTTTAGTTTATTGATAGAGATAATATCCGCATGAAGATAACTATGTTCGGTATCCAATTCACTTTATTTGGAAGAAAAACAAGAACGGGTGAGATATATTGTCTACAATATGGAGTAGTTCATTTCAAGAGCAGATTCGGTTCCTATAAAGGTTTGTTTTTCTTCTTTGATTTTTTTTTTCTTAAAATATAGCTATAATTTTCTGATATGGAGGATCCCAATGGTTGGGCAACCATAGAGCATACTTCTTATAGTTTTGAATATATCTATACATGTTTATACTTCTCAACCTCTGATTTTTTTTCAGATGAATTGATAAATTCGTGGAAATATATACCTGTTGGAGCAAATTCGTGCTGATAACGTGTTATGAAATGGAAGGAGATAAGTAGAAGATCAGGGAGAGAAAATATAGTATGAAGACTTATGTTATTGAGAGTATTAGAGAGTGTGATAATAGTGTAATCAACGTGTGTTAATTACAATGGAGAAGACTCCTATTTATAGGAGAAAAGCTAAGCTTATTAGGATTACAGGATAATTGTGAATCACACAATATCATCTAGAATCATAATTATGATTTCCTAATTATTTATACAATGGTGATAATAATTCCTAATCAGGAATAGTTGGAAGATGACTTAATTCAATATATTTCAACAAATCTAATGTTGTGTAGGCCTGAAGCTAAGGTTAACCGACCAGCATAGGCACGTAAAAAAGAGGCCCCTGAAAATCAGTGGCGGATCTACACTTCAAGTTATGGGTGTTCATTTTTTTCTAAAAATAAATTTTGAAAAGACAATAAATAATTAAACTAAATTTATACATGTATACTAACATATTTTTCAAAATTCTAGGTGTTCATGTGAACACCCTTGAACTAATGTGGCTCCGCCACTGCTGAAAACCCACCCTGCCACGAAACATTTCCTGTGGATCGGGCCCGCCTCATAATACAAATGCCTAGATTAGTGATTACGCCCCTTTGGCGTACACACAACAAGACGTGACTGGGTATCGCACTACCCGCACACGATCTGTTGTCATGCCTGGACCACAGCCAACTAGCTTGCTAGAGAAAGTTTGATCATCTATGCGAACTCCCCATCCAACCATCGGTTAGGTTGTTGTAGGATTGTAAATGAATCAAACTTTTATTGAATTACTTGAGTTTGAGCTCGATTCGAACCTAAGAATCCCGAGCTTAACGAGCTTTCAAACTCCATCGAACCCGAGCTGAGTTTTAAGTTCAAACAATTAATCGATCCGAATTCGAACATAGTAGTCTTCGGCTCTGTTCGAGCTCGAACCTTTCTAACACCCTAAAATTATAAATATAATCTATATATATGTCAAAATTTAAATGTAATTATTATAATTTTATGAATTTAAATATGATCGCTAACTAACTGAATCTCATTTGATCATTGATTATTTTCTTACTAAAAAGTTTTCGTTAATTTAGCAGGACAAAACCGAATTTGAATGGTGATAATTTTTTTTAGTAAGTTATTATCTTGAATTACTAGGAAAGTTCTAGGATCGTGACTACTTTATTGGTCCTACATTGAACGTGCATATATAAATATTGATAAAATGACTAATAGTAGAAAGTTAAATTAGGAATCCATTTCTTTATCTCAAATTCAATGATAGATTGGCGTGCATTAGTGGATGTTCAAAGCGATTACTTGAGTAACACCATAGGTGCATATTTTGTGGAAAAATAATACATTGTGTTACTTTAATTTACAAGCCGGTTTTATAACACTTAAATTGGCTGAATTTATTGATTCTTTTGAAATTTATGAAATTCGGGTTGAAGTGACTATATTGACTGATTCTGGTGATTTATGAAAAAAATATTTAAAATATTTGTTATTTGTTGGAGCCATTGATATCATATATCCCAGAATATATCTTTTCCATATTTGCATGTAATATTTTTGTATAGAATATTCTATAGGCTAATTATTAGGAAGATATTTTATTCTTTCCTTTCTTTGTACGGCTCTTATGTCTATAGCATGTATATATATCTTTGTAAGCTCATTCTGAAAGGCAAGAAGTAATAAAACCTTTTCCACACTCAAAGCCTACGTTCCCTTTGGCAGAAAGCATATCTATTCCTCTTGACATGGTATCAGAGCAGTGACACGATCCTGCCGGCAAACCTCTCAACGACCCTCTCCTGCTTTCTGCCATGACGACCCCTGAAACTGAAACTCCCAACCCAAACCCAGATTTGAGGAATGAGCCGACCCGACGCAAAACTAACGACCCTTCATCCCCTTATTTTTTGCATCCTAGTGATTCTCCGGGCTTCAACATATGCGGCATGACCCTTCGAGGGGAATCAAATTATAGGGAATGGAGGATTTCCATGACAAATGCTTTCCGGGCAAAAAGGAAGGCCGGTTTTCTGAACGGAACTATCCAACGCCCCACAACTCGGGCTGAGGATATTGAGGACTGGATAAGTGTGAATTCGATGCTCGTAGGCTGGATTATGACGTCTATTGAGCCAAGCTTGCGTACAAATATCACGTACGTGGACGATGCATGCGATTTGTGGAAGGACTTAAAAGAACGTTTTGAGGTGAGTGACCCTATTCGGGTGCATGAAATTAAGGAGGCACTGCAGGCTTGCAAACAGCATGGTGACACGGTGACAACATACTATGGACGCTTGAAGGGTTTATGGGATGATTACGAACCCTACCAGAATGTGTCGCGGTGTGTGTGCAAAGGGTGCACATGTAATCTGGACAAGCAGTTCCTTGCAAAGGTTGAGACCGAAAAATGTCATGACTTCTTGCTATAACTAGATGGCGCAACCTTCGGGGGACTGCGGTCAAACATTTTGAGCATGGATGAATTACCACCTCTCACCAAACTCTACCAGATGACTGTACAGGAAGAGAGGCATAGGAATCTCACTCGGAACCTTGATGAACGGACAGAGGGAATTGCTCTCGCTGCGCATATGTCTCTGCCTCGCTCAGTTCGTGAGAAGCTTGTTTGTTCCTTCTGTAGGAAGACAGGGCACACAGTGGACAATTGTTTCAAGAAATCCGGTAAATATACGGAGTGGTGGGTGAACAATCCTGGTCGGGGTCGTGGACGGGATAGAGACGGCGGCAACCGCCGCACCGACAATGCAGCAACTCATGCCGTTGGAATAATAGGCAGCATGGAACCGGAAGATCATGTGCAAAGGGTGGCTTCTGGTTCCCAGCATGGGCCTACTATTAGCAGTGAACAGTGGACAACCTTTCTCAACATGGTGAATAATTTTAAGGTGAATGATACCAGTGAAAAATTATCAGGTATGGAACCTACTGTCGAATGGCTCTTGGATTCGGGTGCTTCCTACCATATGACGGGAAATTCTAAATTAATTTTAAAGAAAGAGGGTATTTCCAGAACTCCCGTAACGCTGCCCAACGGGCATTTCACCTACGCCACTCATGTTGGGCGTGTATTTATCAGTGCAAACTTGATTCTAAACAATGTTCTTTTTGTACCGTGTCTTACATGCAATTTAATCTCTATGGCTCGTCTTGTTGATGATTTGAACTGTGATATATCATTCACTAATAAGTTATGTGTAATACACGACCTACCTACGAGGACGTTTATTGGGGTGGGTGAGCGGCGTGGGGGAGTCTATTTTTTCTGAGGGATGGATCCAAGTCATAAGTGTCTGGCTGCCGTGGTAGAGACTCCAGAGCTATGGCATTGCCGGTTAGGACATCCATCTCATAATGTGATGAAGACTATTGGTAGTTTAAATCTTTCATTTGAGAATAAAGTTTGTGATGCTTGTATGCGTGGCAAGCAAACAAGAGAGGTGTTTTCAATAAATTATACTCGTGCTTTTGAGGCTTTTGAAATGATTCATTGTGATGTGTGGGGCCCGTATCGAACACAGGCATCGTGTGGGTCCCGTTATTTCCTTACCGTTGTTGATGACTACTTCCGTGCAGTTTGGATTTATTTGATGCGTGAGAAAAATGAAGTGGGCCAAATTTTGAAAAATTTCTTAGCAATGGCTAAACTCCAATTTAAACAGGAAGGTAAAATAATAAGGACTGATAATGGAACTGAATTTCAATGCATGAAAAAATATTTTCTCGGTCTGGGGATTATTTTTCAAACTTCTTGCGTTGACACTCCTCAACAAAATGGGCGTGTGGAGCGTAAGCACAGACATATCCTCAATGTGGAAAGGAGCCTCCGTTTTCATGCACATCTTCCCATTCAATTTTGGGGAGAATATATTCTGACTGCAGGATATTTAATTAATCGACTACCCTCTCCGCTTCTCCACGGAAAAACACCCTGTGAACTTCTTTTTGGCAAGGCACCTCTCTATAATCAACTTCGGGTTTTTGGCTGTTTATGTTATGCGAGCAATATTAATCGGTCTCGTGATAAATTTGAATCTCGGATCCGGAAGTGTGTTTTCCTCACAAAAGGGCTGGAAGGGTTTTGATTTTGATAATAACCAACACTTTGTGTCTCGGGATGTGCAATTTTTTGAAAATTATTTTCCTTTTGACCACCCTCCTGCCGTGCCGACTCAGTTTTATGCAGAGGATAACCACGATGCTTTTCCTGTAGAAGACACATCGCCGCCAGCTGCCGCTACTGCTGCTGATTCTACTTCTCCCTTGACCGACGCTCACCAAAATCCCTCTCTGGATGCCTCACAGGCTCACACATGTGATACATGCCCTGAAGCTGGAGTCTCCCATTGTGCCGACCCATCAACTCATGAAGCTCCTACTCCAGATTCCTCTCCCACAATTCCGGTAGCTCCTAGACCTCAGCGGACACGGCACGGCCGTAGATGAGGGCGTGCAAGAAGTGTTATTGCACAAGGCCTCTCGATTTCAAAAGGTCCAAAATTTTAAATATAGTCTACATAATATAATAAATCTTTATTTATTTGATTAAAAATTCCTATCTCGTATTTTTTTAAACATTAAATTGTAATATTTATATGTAATTAAAATACAATTGATAATTACAATTGTGTAATTTATCTATTTCACAAGGCCTAGTTACATTAATTAGCACAAAAGCGCTCGTACAGAATGGAACGAGCTTGTAACTACTTTTTTTTCATACTTTGTCATTAAATACGTTTCTTAATATATTTTCTTTTCTACATTTTTATTTACCTTACAGCTCTATACTACTCCTACTATTTTCTTCATAAAACCCACAAAAGACCTAAGGAGACTATTATTTAAAAACGGTGAGAGTATTAATATAGTGTTTTATACTTTAGGACCTCATATTTAATTTTGCACAGGGCCTTTTGTATGTCTGAGCCGGCCCTGGGACACGGGCCCCACCAAAATGGCATTCGGACTATGTACGTCTCAATTCAGCCAAAATAGACCACCCCCTCACTGCGCACTCCTCCATGACGAACTTAGGTACTCCTTATTCCCTAACTAATTATGTACAATATAATCGCTTTTCTTTGTCACATCGAGCCTTTCTAGCGGCCATTTCCTCTGAAGTTGAACCCAGTGATTATCACGAGGCTGTTCGGGACCCGAAGTGGCGGCTGGCCATGCAACATGAAATTGATGCTCTTGAACGCAATGGGACATGGTCTATTCAACTGGTCCCTCCCGGTAAGAAACCTATTTTCTGTAAATGGGTTTATAAAATCAAATACAAGAGTGATGGGTCTGTGGATCGTTATAAAGCTCGTCTTGTTGTTTGCGGTAATCGACAAGTTGAAGGGATTGATTATCATGACACATTTGCTCCCGTTGCCAAAATGGTTACCGTGCGTACCATTTTAGCTGTTGCGGCCATCCAACATTGGGAGTTACATCAAATGGATGTTGATAATGCCTTCTTACATGGGGATCTTCACGAAGAGGTCTACATGCATTTACCTCCCGGATATACCACATCGTCCCCGGGTCAAGTCCGTCGGCTACACCGCTCGCTATATGGTTTACGCCACGCTCCTTGTTGCTGGTTTTCCAAGCTAACTACCGCTCTTCGCCGATATGGTTTTTCTCAGTCTTATGCAAATTATTCTTTGTTCAGTCTTCGCCGTCCTAATCATATTTTATGTGTACTTATTTATGTTGATGACATGCTTATCACCGGTAATAGTTCCTCCATGATTCGTGATTTCAAAGCATATCTTGCTAAATCTTTTCCCTTTAAAGATATTGGACATATGAAGTATTTCTTGGTGCTTGAAGTCGCAAGAAATCCCTATGGCATTTTTCTCTGCCAACGTAAGTACCTCCTTGACATTCTTGCCGAGACTGGGTTTGGAGGGGCACGCCCAGCAAATTTCCCTATGACGCAGAATCATCGGTTGCAGCTTGACTCCTCGTCTCTTTTTTCTGCTCCTGATCAGTACAGACGGCTTGTCGGGAAACTTATCTATCTTACTCTTACCCGTCCAGATATCTCTTACTCGGTTCATATTTTGACTCAGTTTATGCAACACCCTCGAGTTGCTCTCTGGGAGGTGGCTATTCGGGTTCTCCGTTATCTCAAGAGCCATCCTGGGCAAGGGATTCTTCTCCGCAGTGATTCTTCTCTCTCTCTCACTGGCTATTGTGACTCTGACTGGGCCAGTTGTCCACTTACTCGCCGTTCACTTTCTGGGTATTTTGTGACTCTTGGTTCCTTTCCGATCTCTTGGCGCACTAAGAAGCAAGTGACAGTCTCTCGCTCCTCTGCTGAGGCCGAATATCGTTCGATGGCATCTCTTACATGTGAGCTTATATGGCTCAAGAGTCTTCTTTCCTCTCTAGGGGTCTCTCATACTGATCCTATTCACCTCCTCTGTGACAATCAAGCGGCTCTTCATATAGCTTCCAATCCGGTGTTCCATGAACGGACCAAACATATAGAAATTGATTGCCACTTCCTCCGCGATCATGTTCAGCATCAAACCATATGCCTTTCTCACAAAGCATCATCTGAACAATTGGCAGATATTTTTACCAAAGCTCTCGGCGCCGAGCAATTTCATTATTTGTTGTCCAAGATGGGCGTTTTTTATCTCCATGCTCCATCTTGAGGGGGGTGTTGGAGCCGTTGATATCATATATCCCAAAATATTTCTTTTCCATATTTGCATGTAATAGTTTTGTATAGAATATTCTATAGGCTAATTATTAGGAAGATATTTTATTCTTTCCTTTCTTTGTATGGCTCTTATGTCTATAGCATGTATATATATCTTTGTAAGCTCATTCTGAAAGGCAAGCAGTAATAAAACCTTTTCCGCACTCAAAGCCCACGTTCCCTTTGGCAGAAAGCATATCTATTCCTCTTGACATTATTAGTAAATAAAATAAAATATTATAAGAAAAATTAGCTAAAATGATAACCATAACCACAAAGTTTAAACCCATTAAAATTGCTCCGCTGTGTAGTTCCTCACTTGGTAAATTATACCGTACACCCGGATGTACTGTGCTCATCGTACATCCGGGTATTTTTGTAATTCTTTTTTATTTGTATGGCTATAATTCTTCCATCCTTGTTCTTCCCTGAATTCCTGCGTACCGTGAAGTGCATATCGTTTCTCTAACCGGGCAGCTTGCAGCTTCGTCCGTATTCTTCTCTACGCATGGCTTTCGACGTTGATTTTTTTTTTTTTCATTTTTTTTCTCCATTTTTTTCTTAACCTTCTTTTACATTGATTTTAATTTATGATGAATATTTAAGGTATTAATGTTTTATTTTCCTATTTTTAATTAAGATGAATATTTTATATTTATTAGTTTATTAAATGTTATGTGTTAATTACTAACATGAGTTTTGTATTATACTAAAATGAGTATAGTGTAAAATAAATATGCATGGGTAAACATTAAAAAAAGAACCCGATTATAATTGTAATTCCAGAACGAAAGACTATAATTTTTTTTAATACTACATTACTATATTTGTCATTATAATATATGTGCACAAATGAACATTTAAACACATTAGAGAATTCAAACGAGCTCTTGAATTTTTCGATGCTCATTTTGTAAGTTACGTATGTTCATCTGTAACACCGTCCCCAAATGTATTTATCTTTAAGCGAATAATTTATTGAACCCTATGAAATTTTTAGTGAATTTACGAGGTTGTGAATTTGTATTAATTTTTTTTCGCGTGAATAGTAAAATGCACGTGGGGCCCACATCGGGAGTGGGGACCGCCCGATATTATCGGGACCACATATTATATTCATCTGGGTCTAGAAAATATTTATAGGATGGTGGATACTTCATTTGGGCCATGGAAAGGCCCAGAGTTGACCGATTGGTCAATAGAGGCCCAAATACCGGTATCGATAAATTTTTCAGATAAAAGCCCGAAATTGGATTTTGGAGACTTATAAAGTAAAGTTGGGGAATGCATATTCATTCTAAATGTTATAATGATTAAGAACACGTAATATATTTATTTAACTCGATAAAATAAAATATATCTAAAACAGTCCGGAAAATACAACTTTCGGGGCAAATTGTACACTTTGGGACAAATTAGGATGACCTCCCACATGGGTGGGGGCCACCCCACGAATTTGTCAACCCTTGGGGGCTGGATGAGTGCTAAGTTGGCTGAATAACAATTGATAGGATGGGGGAGACACCCTTTGACATTTAGTAGACCCCATCCCTTCACTCATTTGTCTAAATGAGACAAAAACCACCCCTCTCACCTCACCACCTCCACCCACTCGTAGCAACACCCAAGGATAGTAAGGAGGAGCTCTGAAATTCATCATTTTCACACCCAAATTCGAGCTCAAGATAGAGGATCCAAAGAGGAGTGTTTGGAGAAGGAAAAAGGTGTAGGAAAGTGTGGAAATTGAGGTAATCACCTTGCCATAGCTTTCCCTTTATTCTTCTTCTACCATGAGGAATATTTATTATATGAAGAACCCTTGGGATGGTTCTCCATGTTCTAAGTATGGATTTATGGGTTGGAAAGTGGTTCTATGTCCAAGAACGGACTTAGAAACCAAAGCGACCGGTTTGCCGGAAAATAACCTTTTATAGGTTATTTGTGTTGATATGGGTTTTGTGATGATAAAACCTTGTTAGGAACTTGATTTAAAGTATTTTTGAGCTTCGCCGGAGTTTCGTCGGAGTTGGTCAAAGTTCGTCGGAGTTGGTCAAAGTTCGCCGAAATTAGTCAAAGTTCAATCGAGAAGCGTAGAACGCGCTTGAGCTTAATTAAGGTGAGGATGACCAACTATGTTGCTTATAATCTTTGGGTTAATCTCATGGGATCTCCTAAGTGAATACAAATGTGATGTGCATGGGTTGTTAATGGTTAATAATGCCTAAATAAAACTACTATTGATTATAAGTATAGTATGCATGATATACAAATTTATGAATAAATTGTGTATGTTTAGATGTTATGAATACGAGTGTATGATGGTTGTATCAACCATGAATTTCATTTGAGATAGTATACTTTGATACCATGAGGAGAAGCCATGAAAGTATAAAAGTGATATTTGATATTAAGGCCAATCATGCATGAAGGAAGAATTATATTGAAATAAATAAATAACTAGCATTGAAATATTAGTTGGAAATGTTAGTTGAGAAATGGATGAATTAGATCCTAAGAATTTGAATTATAAAGAATCAGTGATTATGAGCCGGGCTCGAGACCGATGTAGATAACGGTGATTATGGGCTGGGCTCTAGACCGTAGTAGATGACGGTGATTATGAGCTGGGCTCTAGACCGTGGTAGATGACGGTGATTATGAGCGGGGCTCTAGACCGTAGTAGATAACGGTGATTATGAGCTGGGCTCTAGACCGTAGTAAATAATGATGAATTGATACTAAATGAACGGATTAACTATAATGTAATAATGCTCTAGATTGAGGGCCTCAGAGATTTAAACTTTAATTATACTTAGTATAGTTGTCATTGTACTTGTCAAATGCTTCCAAGTACTGACCTCCCCTTCACGGGGGAGGCCACCTCACAGTTTCAGGTAGAACTTGAAGGTTGCTACTACCAGCCGCTGTTTCGGGAAGTTTCTGAGAAGAAGACTTGGTTCGTGCTTCTTCCGTTCTTGTTTTGAAAACAATATGAATAATGCTCATGGATATTATTTTCTGAATATACATTTCGGGGGTTTGTATACCCATGTTTGCCAAGTGTGGCTTGAACACTTGTAATGTTGTTTCCGTTGTTTTAAAGAATAATTCACATTATGTTTGTTTATGGATGTGCTACGTGTGAATGATATTCCAGACGCCTTGTATAGTATGAATGTGTTGAACTGCGGTTGACAAATCGTACTGTACGGCGGATTGTTGACGTGTCTGGTAGGTCCGGGGCGTGACAATTTAAATGGTATCAGAGCCAGTCCGTAAACTTCATAATGAAGCTCCAAAATTCCTTTTCGAAAACGAATTTGAAAACCATGAGCATAAAAAAAATTGTACTTATAGACCTTTTGGTACATGAGTTGCAAAATCTCTAACTGTTAAGATGGTACCCTTAACAATTGGTACGACGGTGATTTGAGCCAAATGATGTTTTTAAGTACCCGTCCGTCATTTGACATTCGATACGAGTCTAATGACTCATTCTAATTTCTTTCAGAAATGGAACCAGTTGGAAGGATCACTAGAAGGAACCCGTTGGGCCGTGCACCGGGTGGGTCCGAGCGCGGTAGCCAGGGGTCCTCTAGGGGATCAAGAGGAAGGGGCCGTGGAGGCCAACGTCAAACCGTGAGCGATGGCCACGTCGATACCGAAAGTGAGACCTATTGGTCCTATGAGGACTCAACCTACCAGCCGGGGACTGAGCCAGTTGAGACCCCTTACGAAGGGAATGATGATGATGTGAGTGATGAGGAGGAAAGTGGCTCCTTGGCCAGGATCGAAGCGCTGCTCCAACAGTATCATCGGGAGCGCGGAGAAAGGAGGGCACGCCGAAGGCACCGTGCAGGGAAACCTTCGGGCGGGGCTCCAAGAGGGAGGAGCTATTGCGATTCGAGAACCCATGTGGAAGCGCGTGGAAGTCGGGACGATGGAGGTCCAGCCATAAGGATCTCCAAATACATGAAAGAGGCGAGGGACTTAGGGTGCAAACCGTTCGATGGGACGGGAGACATCTCGGTTGCCGCACAGTGGATCAAAAGGCTGAACGAGGCAGCCCTTGACATGCAGCTCACCCCCGATTTTAAACTGAGAATCGCGGTAAGGTTACTCGAAGGGTTGGCATCCAAATGGTGGGATGGAACCAAGGGTAAGTATGGCGGAACTGTTACATGGGAGGATTTTTGACAAGAATTCTTTGCCCAGTACTACTCTGACTTCGAAGTAAACGCCAAGGTGAGGGAATACACTCTCCTAACCCAAGGTGGTAACATGATGGTGAAAGAACTTGAGAACAAGTTCAGAGACCTTGCTGATCACATACCGGAGTATGCTTGTGATGAAAACCGAATGGTGAATCATTTTTGGGAGGCCTTGGACTTGGAGATACGCGACAGGGCAACTCAATTGCCCAACATGACTTTCAGCCAAGTGGTCGCCCAAGGGTTGAAAGGAGAAAAGCAATGGGAGGAGAGGAAGAAGAGAGATGCCGAAGAGGCTAAGAAAAGAAAGTGGGAAAGCCATGGCCCCCAAGGTCCCAACAAGAAGGGGAACCATGGGGGAGGTGGATCGTTCAAGGAACCGGCAGCACCATCCAAGGGAAACCCAGCCACGAGCGGGCACTACTCGGGCTCACAAGCCCCAACGACGCCCAGGTGCAGGAATTGCAACAGGAACCATGTCGGTAAGTGTCGTGATCCACCACGGTGCTACCAATGCGGGAGTACAGGGCATATTAAGCCAAACTGCCCTCAACTTGGTGGGGACCGGGGGTCAGGACCAAGCGGCGCTACCACGGCAAGTAGGAACCGGGCCGGAGCATCTCATGCCAGTGTGGGCCAGGGGAAGCGAGCACGAGCAATGCGCTGTCCGTGAATCAAGGAAGAACTCAAGCTAGAGTTTATGCGATGACGGAGGCGGACGCACGTGCTAACCCGGACTCCGTGGCGGGTAAGATCTTAAACTCATGATATTACTCCATTGTATGCAATAGGAGTGTTTGTAAGGTGCAAAAATTTATAACCCCGACGGTTTGGTCGGGATTGTTGGGAAAAGGGGAGGAAAAATCCCCGCCTTGGGCGAATGCCGCCCCGCATTTGACGAAAGCCGCCCGG